CAAATTTATTTTGTAAAAATATTTCAATACATTTCTACAATGCTCTTCAGGGTTTTCTCTTGCTCCTCTCCAGAAGCAAAATCTTATAATAACATTTGGCAAGATTCCCCATGCAGGTAATTTCATGCTTTGCTCTTCTTACCAACACAAAGCACAGGAGCACCTTCCTACAGTCACGAACATCACACACCCTGGAAATCATTTTATTACTGCTCTTTCTTCACCACCTCATATATCCTGATTGTTAAGGACAAAGCTAGAGAAATCAAATCATTGAAGCTGAGTGACTTCGATCCTCTCTTTAGCCTTTTTTTTACTTTAAGCTTCTTCTCCCCATCACCCATAGAAACATTTTTGACTGCAGCGTAAATCTAATGCTGATTATAGCTGAATAGATATCAAATTTGCCATGATCCCAGCCTCCTCTGCTATTGCCTGATTTCCTTTGCTATTCTGAGGAGCTGCTGCAAACATGCCAGGGTCATTAAAATTTCACTTCCAGCTTATAAATAGACAAAGTTTTAAAAGCACTATACCACAGCAAGCTGTTTGCAAAATTTGTGCTCCGACTCCATACAGAAAGCTTTACTAGTTTTCAGTGATTCTGACATTAAAAATACAATAAATGTCACATTTCTTGGAAGTCGCTGATCAGCTGTATTGGGTCTGGCTGGAATGGAGATAATTTTCTACAGACAGTCCAAATGCTGCTGTGTTTTGGATTTGTGACTATCACAGTGTTGATAACAGAGAATTGGTTTGGGTATTGCTTGAACAGCATAACCTCAAGGTTTTCTTTTTCCCACACTAGATTCCCACTGAGTAGGCTGGGGGTGCACAAGAAGCTGGGAGGGGACACTGGCAGGATGACTGACACAAACTGGCCTAAGGAATATTCTGTATCATACAATATAATCCTCATCAATAAAATCTTGGGTAGGTGAATAACTGGATGGGGGCTGTCTTCCAAGGCAGCCATTGCTCAGTAAGTTTTCTCACTTTTTTCTACCTTTTGCTCCTCCTATGCTCTTCCCTGTCCCAGTGAGGGGAAGAAACAAGCAGCTGTATGGATGCTTAGCTGAGGGCAGGGGTCAACCCAACACATGTACCTTCTCATTCCCAGAAAAAGATATTAAACTTGATTGCGAAAATATCAAAACAAGAATAATTGCCGCAATAATTCAGAAGCACAAAAAATTACCAGAAGTGCTATTAAAATTACTGAAGTGTGCATAGCTTCCACAACAGCAAAAACACCACATAACTAACAGGACATTAGACAATTCAGAAATTCCAACCATTTCACACACTATGCCTAACATATGGTTTTCTGGTGGAAGCTTTAAAAAGCTTATTTACACATTAAAAAAAAAAATCAAAGATAGACATATATTCCCACAAAAACAGATAAGAAAATAGCAAATCCGTGCATTAAAGCAAAGTGAGTTCTTTCTCAGTGAAATTGCAGGGCTGTAACAGCTGTGCAACTGCTCCCATTAGAAGCAAAAATGATCTTATTAGATGTATGACCTGCGCAGCTAATTCATATATGATAAATCTAAAGGTATCTACAGAGCAAGTCCAGGATTAAAATTGATATTTAATGGCTTAACCTCCAAACCACGAACAGTTATAGGTCACAACAGTGGAACAGGTACCTGATAATATAAGACTTGGCTACTCCTCACAGAGCAATCATCAACAACACTGAAGCTTTAAGTTTCCTCACCTTCTTTCATGCTTTGCTCCTATGACCCTCAGTGCTCTCTCACTGTACATCTGTTCTGAACTAATCTTGCTGCACATGGTAGGTTTTTTTTTCCTCTCCCAGAGCTTGCCACTGCCACTCCCAAATCGTCAATGCAAAGCAAGACACATCCCTCGCTTTTATGGTGCTCTCAGCATGTAGCTTCTATTGAAGGCCTACTCCTCTATTTTTAATGTCCTCCTCTAAGACAGCAGTTTCACTAAAGCTCATCTTATAAGTGTAGAATAAGGTATTCCAATGTTTCCAGAGAATTTTAAAAAATAGCACAGCATGGCCCTAAAGGCCTGCCTTTTGGATGCTGACAGAACTATGCTGCTGTGTTTAAAGTAAATGGCTATATCAGATGCAGTAGCAAATGTTTTTGGTTTTTTAATGCTCCAGACAAAAAAAAAACCAAACAAAACACAAAACACAAAACCAAGTACCTCACTCCTGTATTTTATTTACCTGAACCCTAAACATCTCCCTTAAGATCCTCTGGTCACACTGTGAGAGGTTTTTAGGTTTTTCAAGAGTGTGTCAAACAGCTTAAGCAAAACATAAAAAAAACCCAACCTGTCAAAATACAAGTAAGTATTTCTTTCTTTAAAAGTCAAGACAACTCCAAATGGGCATTTTGGGGGTCAAATTTCCTGAAGACTCGCTTCAGCACTTGCATCATTTGTCAGGCAGTGTATTAAAGGATGCACCCTTATTATTGTCCTTGGTGCTTTTGTTGTCCGGCGGGCTTGCTGAAACCCAAGGCTTGTTAGTCACGCACCCTGTCTTTCGCCCCAGTTTTTAATCGCTTCACCCAGACCTCCGCAGCAAAAACTTTATTGGGGCGAAATACAAGGGACTGCATTGCGTGGGGAACGAGCCCGAGCCGCAGCTTTTTGATCCAACCTGCACCTGCCGGCTGCGGCGGGGACGGACCGGGCCGGGGCCAAAGCATCGCCACCGCATGCGGGCACGGGCGGGCAGCGGGCACGGCACACTCCCCGCTCCCTCCCGCACTGACCCCCCCGCAGGCCGCATCCATCACACGAGCGGGTTTTGTTTGTCCTCAGACGAAAGCGGTTCCTCAACACAGGGCGGGAAGGCCCTGCCCGCCCACACCCCGCACACCGGAGAAGCCGCGGGCGCTCCCCTCCCTCTTTACCTGTCTCGTCCTCGTCGATGCGCAGCGCCATGGAGATGCACTCGAAGGCCCGCTTGTGACACGCCCGCACCGTCTCGGGCGCCCCGCCGGGCTCGGGCGCATCGCCGGCCCCGGCCCTGCTGCCCTTGGCGGCCATGAGGGCGCCGCGGGAGAGGCGCTCGCAGAGCCAGGCGAAGAGCAGCCCGAGCTGGAAGGCGACGAAGCGGAGCAGGGCGAAGGCGGCGAACAGCGGGTACGAGAAGTAGTACAGGTTCCGCTTGTGCGGGGACGCCGCTGCCGTCGCCGCCCCCGCCGGCGGCACGGGGGGCGCCGGCCCGGGCGGCGAGGAGGGAGAGGCGCCGGCGGCCGGAGGCGCGGAGCTGGAGCCGGCTGAGCCCTTCTTCTTCCCTCGGCCGCCCGGAGAATTCATTCACCGCCGTCGCCATAACCCGCTGCCAGGGACTGACAACAACCGGCCATGGCGATGGCGATGGCGGCGGCGACGCCCCTTTCGGCCGCCCCAGGGGGAGGGACGGAGGGAAAGAGGGAGGGAAGGATGCGGGCGGTCCCGGCCGGGAGTGGGGCGGGGCTTTCCAGCGCTGTGCGTGGAGAGAATCAAGGCTTCTCCAGTCGTGGCCGAGGCCGTTAGATGTCGGCACATGGAAACACACTGAGTGGACGGAGGATGAATAATTTAATAGGATTAATTATTCTGACTGGAGTCGTGAGCCGCCCCATAGGCACAATGCAGCGCGGATCCCTGGCGTCGCTCCCGCCGGGAGTCATTGCTAGAGGCACACGAGGAGGGCCCGGGGAATTCCCTCGCACGGAGGGACGTGTGGCAGCCAGTCACTGGCGGTGTCCGTGCTTCCGCCGGCTGGAATTGCCCCCGGGAGAGCGTCCTGCCGTGCTTTGTCTGCTCCGCATCTCTGTAATGGAAATGACAGGCTGTCTGCTCACATAGAGGGAGCTAATGTAATTCAGCATACATTATAGATACATCGTCCTGGAAAGAAAAAAAGAAATCAAATCTGAACTCTGTTACCACCTTCGTTACAAAAAGTGATCACCCAGTTGTCCAAGCCCTTGTTTGTCAATTATTTGCCCAGCTATAACATTTATTTATTTGTGTCTCCACTAATGAGACAGATCCTCCAGCTCTCTACTTTTTTGGTTATTTTAAACCTTAAAAATGCTTTGGTACCTTTGGTCTAGGAAACAAGGGGAGGCACCCACACAACAGCATTCCCACGTTCTGTGCCTACTGCTATATTCAACAGTGTAGCAAGGCCCTTTCCTCTGTGCTTCAGTCTTCCTCCCCTTTTGGTTGATCTTTTTTGCTGTTGTTTTGCTTTGTCACGCACTCTGTTCTACAAATAAAATACTGAGCTCCTAATGCTAATTATGACAGATCATCTCTCTCCTACACCTCTGAACTGCACACAGTAGCCCAGAAAGTCCCCAAACAGTAGACACATAATTCAGTGCACAAGCAAGTTTCCCCAGTTTATAGCAAGAAATTGCAGTTGGTGCTGTGTGTTAATTAAAAGGACATGCCAAACTGAAACCACTGCTGTCTGCCATGTTTTATTTATTATGATTATTTATTTGTCCAAAATTACTATAAAACTACTGTTTTTTTCTTGTTTGCTTATGCCTTGTATAGTTACTTCTAGTTCCCTTGGTAATGTGTATTGATTTTCTTAAATGATTGTGTGATCTGTTTTAATGACAGAACTGATTATTTTCTTACTGTATAAACCACAGAATTTTATTAAAATATAAAATAACTATTCATAACCTAGAACGATTACTAGACAGAGACAGTGAGCCTGTCTCTGTCTAACTTGAAAATGTAGTAATGTACATCAAGTATTTTTCTCTTGTACTTGGTAAGAAGGATGATGTACTTCTATTATGAAAATATTACTGAAGTATTTTCCAGTCCACTCATGACTGAACAAAGTTCAGTATCTTTTTTTTTCTCAGTATACTTAACTATCCTTTAAAAAAAAAAATCTCATTTGCCGATATAAAGGCTTAACAAATTTTGGAATATCCGAGAAATTCCAGAAGCTTCAAGCTGAGTTAATACTAAGTAGCATTCAAAAATGTGAAGTGAAATAAGCCCCATGACAACAGATTACTGAACTACTGTCTTTATTATCTCATTACTATCTAAAGTATCATCCCACTCCTGATCAAAATCGAAAAGCTAGTGAAGAAATAAGTTTATTAACAAGGACAGATTGAATGACAATAGAAGACAATGTACCTCAATCAATCCTGACTGATCAATCTATTCAGTTATTTTTACTTTTAAAAAAATTTAGAATGACACCTTTGTAAATCATGTGAAGGTATCACGGCAATAAAGGAGTGCACCTGTTAGGAGAATAACATCACGTTAAACCAAAAACACAGCTTCAGAAGCAGACGCTAGTCAGGAATTGTGATAAAACCTAGAGAATCAGTTCACTATTGTGGCTATTAAATATTTGAGCGATCTGCAAGTTGAATCTCCCTACCCTCCTACATTAAACTGGCTCTAGCAGTCTTTGGTCTTGTCTGTGAGATATTCTAATTAATAATCTGGCATAAGATTAATGCTAGTTTGAAAAAAAACCAACGAAACCCAACAAACAAATCTTAAACCGCATCAGACCACTGGATGGCTTTCTGCTGGCTTAGTGAAATGTTCTGGCTCAGCAAGGGTTCTGACGGACATCAGCAAGGGGTGGATGAAGAAGTGAAACCTCATTTCCCGGAGTGGACAACTGTTGGATCAGCTCAGCCACCTGATTTGACTTTGCTCTGAAGATTGTACCTCCTGTATTTCATGAGTCCTCAATCTGGTATCTCAGCTAAAGGTTTTAGAATTAGAGCAGACAAACACTACAGTCATAGGAATTAGAAAGATGCAACTAACCTGACACCACAACTTACCATTGCACAAAAGGTCAAGGTAGGAAACCTTTTCTCACTCCCAACATGATATCACCACAAAAACTGAATATAATAGAGAATACATAAATGTGGAAACTGGGCTAAGGGTAAAAGGACTTTTCAGGTATTCTAAATGCAATTCTCAAAAATGTCATTGCTAGAACCTCATGAAAAATTAGGAGAGAGAGCCTTAAAATGGACTGAAAAGCTTATACCTTTCACATTAAGAATTTGTTTGTATTCCTGTTTTAAATTTTAGAAAAAAACCTCAAATGTTTTGTCTTCTGTGTTTTCACCTCACCTCCTCAACATCAGCTAAGTTTGCCAGCACTAGGTACTAAAATTGACGCAAAGACAGTATGCAGTTCTGCTATAATTCCAAATATTTCAGTTGAGTATCAAATCTGTGACTGACCACACACAAATTTTTAAGCCTGCTTATCACACTGGTAACATTGTCAGTTCTGTAAATATGGTTGTTTCAAGTTCACTGATGTACACATACTTAATCATTACCATTATTAGATTATTACATCAGAGCACAATCTAGTGAAAACATGGCATTTACCATTATTTCTCCATGTCGCTCATCTTTTAAGAGCATCAGGTAAGTCACTCATATGCATTCTCATTACTGCAGCAAGGACAGAAAAAAAAAACAGACCTATTTTTGTAAAACAACAACAAAAATGGTTTTCTCAAAAGAAAAAGAAAAAAGACTACAGGAATGTAACTACTTCATCAAGTCAAAAATAAAAAGATTCTTAAGGCCTTTTTAATCCTCTAGCACAAACCATGTTACCAGACAAAGAGATCACAGTATCACAGAATTGTTAGGGTTTGAAGGGGCTTCTGGAGATCATCTAGTCAATGCCCCTGCCAAGACAAGGTCACCTAGAGCAGGTGATACAGGAGCACATCCAGGTGGGTTTGTAATGTCTCCAGAGAGAGAGACTCCACGACCTTCCCGGGCAGCCTGTTTCAGAGTTCTGTCACCCTTAATGTAAAGTAGTTGTTCCTCAGATTTAATTCCTAATAAAAACAAAGGAATCAGGCACAGATGTTCTAACATCGGTATAATTTGTTAACAGCACAATAACTACAGAAGCGACAGATTCTTTCGTTTTCCGACAGCTTCCAGTCGGGACAGGATGGTCAAAGCCGATACCTGGACAAAGCTGAGCAGCTGAGTTTTTGTTTATAGAGAGAAAATTAACGGCCAACAGTCATCGTTGTGAAAACCGCGTTCTACACAGCTCTGGAAGGTTATGCCACTAACAAATCCCCACTTTCAGTTCCACATTAACAGTTATTTTTCGTGACCATCACAGGGAGCTCCTCAGACATCAAACCGCGTTGATGATGGGCACACTTCTGTAGCACAAAGCCCCCAAGCGCCAGCGTTTCTCAAAGGTTTGTTCGGAGCCGCAAACACCCCAAAAGACACCCAGGAACGACCGCCCTTCCCGAGCTCCCGCCCCGCTTTCCCCGCCTCGCGCACGCGCAGTGCGCCGGGGGGCGGTGGCGGCGCGGCCGCTTCACTGACGTCAAAACAACTCGCGACGGCGCCTGCGGTTGCTGCGGAGCCGCTCCTGCTGTCCTGCCGATCCCAGAGTCCTGCCGGTCCCGAACTGACTGCCGGTGAGAGCCGAGCGGCGGGGCCGCCTTTCCCCCGGGGGGCGCCTGGGACACGGCCGGGGGCGGCGGCCGCACGTGGCCTGAGGTGCGGCGGGGCCCCAGCCCGGCCCTGCCCACGGGGGGTCTCGCGGCGCTGTGGCGGGCAGGGTGGGACGGTCGGACGGACGGACGGACGGACGGAGGATAAAGAGTGTCTCCGGCTTCCCGCGGAGATGAATGCTGTGTTTCCTAGTCCTGGTAGCGCTCTCTTCAGGGGACCTGCCCCGAACCTTAAGGCACTTCTCGGCTCTGCGTGTGGGAAAAACGCGTTCAAGTTTGGCGCGGGGGGAGCGCAAAGGAACTGTCTCTGCACTCTCGTAATTGTGCCTTAGTAACCATTAGTAACCAAATTATGCAGTATCACTTAACTCACACTGGGCTCTGTCTCAGCCTGCTGACCGGTGTTTTTATTGCTTTCCAAGATTTTCTGCACGCCCAGCAAATTCCAGTTTTCAAATCATGGAGGGAGAACAGATTATGGAGGGACAGCCACAGGTATTGCAATATTTTACGTGCATAATGCTACGTGAATAAAAGGAGCATTTTCTCTTTGCTGACCATCTGTTATTTTACAGGTTCCAGAAAATCCACATTCTGAATACGGTCTCACTGAAAATGTAGAGGTAACAAAGCTGTTGTTGTTGTAAAGTACAGTGGAAGTCACATTCCTGATCAAGGGAAAAAAACAGTCTAACTTCAGCAATTGTAATGTTCCCAAGAAAGTTAGCTGGAAATCAAGCCAATAGATACCTGTCCCTTGCATAAATGGCTGTATATGTTTTCTGTTGTATTGCTTCCATTGTACTAAATGGTTCTGAAGTAAATAATGCACCTTTAAATGAGACGGTGGGTTTTTTTAAGTATCCTATGGTCATTATCTATTCTGTCGCTATCTATGTTATATATACATTTGTATAGTCTATTATGCCACAAAAAAAGCCATCTGGACTTTTATTACAGGGAGGGGAATAGAAGGAGTTTATGGTATTTCTATGGAAGTATCAAAGGGAAAGATTCTTTTCATATTCTTGTCAATAGAAAAATTACATCAGAATAATACAAGCTATCTTTAATTACTTATGCTGAGAAGAAGTAGGTACAGTCCATTCTCTTGCTGTTGGTAGCAGTGTGGGTTAGAGTAATAGAATCACAGGGTATTCTGAGGTGGAAGAAACCCACAAGAGTCATCGAAGTCCAGCTCCTGATCCTGCACAGGACAGCCCCAAGAATCACATCATGTGCCAGAGGGCATTGTCAAAACACTTCTTGGACTTTGTCAGGTTTGAGGCTGTGGCCACTTCCCTGGGGAGCCTGATTCATTGCTCAGCCACCCACTGGGTGAAAAGCCTTTTCCTAAAATCCAATCAAACCCTCCCCCATCACAGCTTCATGCCATTCACCAGAGAGAACACTGGTGTCTGCCCTCTGACGCTCCTCTGGATTAGGTTTTTGTGCAAGGAAAAATATGCACTTAAATTTTCTTAGAAAATGTAAAGAAGTTATTGCCAGTGAATTGCAAAGTAGATGTGGCTGCTATTATCAATGTGCATTCACTTTTTCTTTTGTACTTCAGAGGATAGTAGAAAATGAGAAACTAAATGCAGAGAAAACATCAAAGCAGAAGGTTGATCTTCAGTCGTTACCCACACGTGCCTACTTGGATCAGACAGTTGTACCTATCTTGCTACAGGGACTTGCCGTTCTTGCAAAAGAGAGGTAAGATGCTTCAATGTTCCTTCTGTTCTTGGCAAAATGTAGGTCTCAAACTTGGGCGGTATGTCACCTTTCAGGCACATGGTTCTGGTAGTTGCACACCACATATTGTTCTGGTAGTTGTAAGAATGTTGTTACAACAGGTTTATGAACCTATAAATTACTGTGATTGGCTGTGCAGGATGTGTTCCCCAGCGTGGTGCTTATCATGCTTATTAGGTGCATATGGCATGATAAGACTTATTCATTTAATTCACGATCCCCCAATGAGGTGTGCTACTGCAAAAGTTTTGGAGGGAAAGATGGGGTTATTTTTGTTACTAATTTTATCACATAATTCACCTTATAAAAGTAAGGCAAGAAATTGTTCTAGTTCTGAAGATTTTTGTAGTGCGTATAAGGAGTTCTTGCCATTTGAAAGAAAGCAAGACAAATCAGGCCTGACATGCATCTTTGTTGGAGATTAAAATGCTTTCCAAGAAGTCAGGCTGACCCTGCACTCTCAACACAGTCAGAAGTAAACTGATAGTTTATCCTCTGAGTGAAGATTATGCTGTCGCGGTGCCCCAAATCTCTTACCAGTCAATGCAGAAGGAGATCCTTCAATAACAGCAAACAGCTGTTCATTTTAGCCAAATTAATTTCGGGCCTTTTAGTGTATCCTTGCTAGTGGCAAGTAGAATTGCATGTGACCATCACTAAATTTTGTTATTTCACTGAAATAACAAAATCAAAAGCTGGTATGGATGACCATAAAGGCATCATGTCACCTACAGTCAGAACAACCATCAGCGGTGTCTTAATTTCAAAAGGAGTTGTGAATTTGAACTGCAGGGAACAGACAGCTAATTAGGCAAAATCAGGCAGCTAGGAAGGTCCACCCTGTGTGTACACCTGAGCAGTGTGCAGATCTTCAGCTGACATCTGTGGGAGTTCTACTGCACACTCAGTATAAAACCTCTGTGAGGTGCATACCCCAGCTTACACTCTGGATACTTGTGTTACAAGCTAGCTTTTTCCTTTATCCTTTTTATTTATTTATTTATTTAAATCTTCATTATGGAAGAAGCTTTTTTTATGGGGACTCATCACATGAGTGAAACTGGACCATTGATAGAAGAGGTTGGGGAATGTGTAGGTATAAAATCCAACAGTATCAAACTGGCAGATCAAATTGGCTGTTCAGTGGAGCATAATAACCCCTCGGGAGTGAGAAAACTGAGCTATCAGCTCTGCTGTATAATCTTCTGATTAAAATCAAAGTGGAAAGTAACTAATGGATGCCAAGTTCTTTTTCTAAGGAATATAAAAATATTCAGGGAACAGCCCAGTCTGTCTGATGGCTATGCCTGGAATTCAGTAGAAATTATGCAGGATAGTGAGCCAGATGGATCAATTACGTATTTGGGAGGAGTCAACACAATTTTTTGTCAGGTGTTGTAAGTGTCTTAGAGTTTATTGAACGAGTCAGCAAGCACATGTAAAGAGGAATGCAGATGATACAGTCTGTTTAAATTTCCAAAAAGTTTCTCACACAGCTGTTCACTAAAAGCTTTTAAAGAGAGTTAGTTGCTGTGGGATTAAAGGAGAAGTCTTTATATGGATGGAGAACTCAGTGGACAAAATAGAGGGTAGAAGTAAATAGTGAATTTTCATGGTGAAATAAGATCAACACTAGAAACATGGAAAGTATAATTTATAACAATTTGAAGAAGAGGCTGATAAAATTTGTTAATGAGACTGAGTTTTACAGACCAGGTATAGGTGTTTTGGGTTTTGTTGTGGTTTTTTTTTTTTAAGTTGATGAATTGTAAGTAATTGCACAGGAATTTCATAAAACCTTCAAGACTGCTATGAAAAATTGAAACTATGGCAAAAAGCAAAAGACTGAATCCAAATAAACAGAAAATTTTAGGCCTAGGAGGGTAGTGACAAATGCTAGTGACAAAATGTTAGATTCTGAGTTGACAATTACCCCTATGAAAACATATCTTTAAGCTGTTACATATATATGTCAATACATTGCTCTAGTAAAAAATAAATTCTGAATGGCAGTCCTTAGAAATTGAAGGGGTAAAAAACAAGCATTATGTCATTATTTAAATTTATAATGTTATTGTATTTTTAATATTATGTGTAATTCCAACTCTCCTGTATTCTGGTAGAATGTGAAAAAATAAGAAGAGTGACAACGTGGTCAGAAGGAATACTGTCTGTCTACAAAGTGACTTGAATAGATGATATCTAGAAAAGAGACTTCTCTGGGAGAATATATTAGGAATCTGTTAAATCACAACAGTGTAGAGATGATGAGTTGGGATGGACTAGTATCTCTTCTGATACAATAATGAAATTAAGTGAAACAGGTAGCAAATTTATAATGAACAAAAGGAGCTGATCCTTCACAGGTCACATAATTAAGCTACATAATTTTTTTGCCTTAGGTTGAGGACATTAAGGTTTTATTTGTGCTCAAGAGGCAACTGGTCAAAGCTGTAGAGGAATTCACCCAGGACTATTAAGGGTGGTAGCTCAGAAATTGGTACATGCTTGGGAGCCAAAAGGATGGTCCAGAAAAATATCTCTGTGCATTTCTTCCAATTTTTATGCTTCTTTATAGGTGTATTTGCTCACTGCCAGACCTTTTGTCTGACCCAATGTGGAAAAATTAAGTTTGTCATTTATTCTGTGGACAAAATCCAGATTAGCAGGATTCCTGCACTGTAGCTGGAGAAGCTTTTTTTTTTTTTTTTAAATTACAAACTAAGGCCAGTGATCAGAAGTGTTTATTATTGACTACTTGCAAGTTACAGCACTTCTCAAACTTGAAGTTTTGTTGTGTTCATTTCAGTTGCCAGAAACCATGAAAACAACTTTAATGCAGAAAGCTACACAATAACCACTTGAAGAAAATGAAGCAAAAAAGCGCTGACAGATTCAGTTTTACTTTATATACCATGAGTCAAAGAAATATGCAAATGCACGTCACATCTAATTGTGTACATACAGTATTTATACTTACAGACTATACCCTAGTTTTAGGTATGTAACTGTAGTAATATTGAACCAACAGAGACTTAGACTCCTTTTTAAAAACTTTCTCATTAGACATAAACTGGAAATTCAGAGTCACTCTAGGTAGTCTGTCATCCCTAAATCAATGCTTGTAAGTGTTTGGAAGGAGTTATGTTTCTTTTAAGGGATGGTGATTAATTCTTCAGCTACCTAATTTCATATAACAAAAAATAATTGCTTTTGATTTACTTTTTTCCTTTACAGACCGCCAAATCCCATTGAATTTCTAGCAGCATATCTTTTAAAAAACAAGTCACAATTTGAAGACCGAAATTAGCTCCATAAAAATGAGGACAGTTTGGCTGCTAGACTGAAATGCTCATTCGCCGCTGTTTGTTTTCTGCTGTAAAAATCCTTTGGCCATGTTGTTGTCTTTCTTAACTGCACAATTTGCTTTACCTTTTGAGTTATTTAATAAAGAACACTTTACATTTAATTTGTTCTCTTGTTTTAAACTAGGTATTAAGAGACTTTCAAAATAAAGTACTGAAACTGCACTGCTGGATGAAAGTCTGAATAATTCCATGGGGCTACATCACCTGAAGGCATGGAAAAATGGGGAACAATTTGTGATGGGAATCACATGGGTGAAAATGTATATAACTTAATTGAATTTTTATATAGCATCCCACCACATGCAACATGCCTAAACAGAAGCAAACAAATGAAGAACAATTAGAATTTCTTCTGAGGAAGTATTGATTAAATAGGGAGGAGAGGACTTACTTCAGAACACCAGGAAATGGGTTAAAACAAACAATTAGATCCAGCAGCTGAATAGAACACCTACAGACAGTGGCCAGCATTTCACATATTTACATTAGTGAGGTGTGCTGTTCAGCATTTGTCATTGATCTCCTGTGACTGGTGTGCTGGATTTAGCTGAAACACAGAATAAAGTTTGAAGTAACTTATAAAGGTTCTGTAATTCAGTTCTCTGTGCTGCTACTCCCAGCTGGAGTGATTTTTCTCTGTCAAAGATGGAATCATCAAGTTGGGATGGACCCATAAGGATCATGAAGTCTAACTCCCTCCTGCTCACAGGACCATCTAAATCATATGATTAAGAGCATCATCCAGATGCTCCTTGTATTCTCACAGGCTTGGTACTGTGACCACTTCCCTGAGGAGCCTGTTCCAGTAACCAGCCATCCTCTGGCTGAAGAGTCTGGATGTCTTTTTCTGATGTTCAAGATAATCCTAATCCAAGTGGTAAAATACCAAGTAATCTGATTTATTTTTTCCCCTTGGATTTACTAATGTCTTTTGGTTTTGTTTGGTCTTCCCAAATGTTTTCATAACCTCTTTTTCTGACCCTTTGTTTATTTTTCCTGTAATCTCAGTAGAGCTAAAGGCCACAAACCTTAGGATACAATATAAGAAGTTGCAGCAGAAAGCAGGATCAGAAGAAAAAGATAGAATTAAGACAGAAAACACTATTTTGTCAAATAATAGTATAAAAGCTCTGAAAATAAGAATATTATGACTGTAGAATTGACTCATTAGGTTATTGGCAATTGGTACACAGCCCTCAGAATTCCCATTTTTGTTTTTTGACACTTCTAACAAGGACCATAACTAATGTTGTTCACTAGCACTGGATACTGGAATCCAGGTTATGCACAGCCCCGTTTTTCACAGACTGGGAGAATAAACATAATTTTTTTGACAGTCACAGAAATGGCAAACTTGGCCTCTAAGAGTAGTTAAATTAATCAAAATCTTAAATTTTTATTAAAATATTTTTAATATTGCCATCTTACCATTACCATATCCATTCAGTGTTTCTTAGCTAATTGCTTTAATATAGCAAGCAGTTAAAACCTTTAAATTTTAAAGTCTTTGCTGCAAGGGTTGAGTTTTCTCCATGTGCTATGAAAGGCTGCATATTTTTTGTAATTATGCATAAATTCACACGAGAGACACTTGGGTCTCTCACTTGACTTGTTCCTGTAACGGTTTGTAGATACACACTGTATTTGCAGTATAATAAGAATTATTTTCCTTAGTTCTCTGACATGTAGTTGACTTTCCTATGGTAATCTGAAGATTTTTTTTTTAACATAGCTTTTCTTCTTTAATACCTTAGATACATGGGTGTAAGAGTGGCCTTCTTCAGAGGAAAAAAATTAACTTTTCAGTTGTCTACAAACTTGGAGGGACTGAGGTCTTGCCATTACTCCTAATAGGAAGGCTCTCACTATTTTATGTATATATTAGTATGCTAACAGGGAAACATTGAATTAGTGCAGTCTAAAAGCAGTAAAATTGGGGAACAAGTAAAAGCTGAAAGAAGTCTGTAAACCAAAAATCGAGCCTAAAAAGCTTTATTTTGGAAAATGTACCAAAATTGTGGAATGAGATTACTAATTCTATTGCATTGTGGTGAACAGTCTCCACCAAACCATGACACTTTAAAAGATACTGAAAGGATTTTAACAACAGTGTTTTGACTTTCTGGAATGAGTAATAACATTTAAGTGAAGACAAGGAGACACCATAAAGACTTGGTACTGCTATTTTTATTGCTAAAGTGGCATTCCAAGCTTTCATAAGTAACAACTTCGCCAGACTGTAAGAATTGTTAAAAGAAGGGGGAATCTATGCTGCTCCCCAGTTTCTGTGTTGAGAATTTGTGCAAGACCATGCAAAAAGAAGCAGTTCCACTATTAATCCTCCCTCGACAGAGCACTTTTCTTATATCATCATACCTGAATTCAGAATACAGAGAAATCGGACTTCTGACCTTATAGTAACACTTGTCAAGCAGCTGCACAAAATTTGAAATACTCTGTCTTTCTACACAACTCTGTCATCAACCTAGAATCTCAAAGCATCAGTACCAGTCCTAAGGCAAGCTGTCCCTGCCAGCAGCATGCCATCTACTCAGCTGCTGGTATCACTGTCATCTGCTGTTGTTTTCCTACCCAGTCTAGAGATTTAATTCAAGAGAATGAAAAAGCCATGTTCACAAGGGGATGATGTTAGAAGATTTTACTACAGCAGCCTTCTCTAAGAAAATAAGTTTAAATGTTACTAGCAGCACTGAACTCACCAGTCCTAAGAATTAAATCTTCCTGCAAAGGTATGACAAGTCAACAAGAAAAGTGCAACCATTTTCCTTTACTTGTTAAACTGGCTTCACCAGTTGAGATCTGCTGCATAGAGAATACTCTGTAACAGGAACAAGTACTAAGTTACTATCTGAATAAGCAGATCATACCTGAATAGTCTGGTTCTCAGTTACAAAAGTAATGATAAAGTCCAAATTTTCAAAGCATTTACTTCTTTTAAATGTTCCCCACTACAAACCAATGAAAATTCTGTGAAGAGACTTGACAGATGCTTGCTATCCCAATTTAATCCAGAAACAAGGAAGTACTATTTTTCCACGGGAAACAGCAGCTCTGAAGGCTTCAAGATAAATGTATTTAACTTGGGAGTAAAAATAGATGTAGAGAAAACACATAAAGAAATATTTGAAAATGGCAACTTCAGATGTATGACAAGCCACTGCTAAGTAGCTGAAAGCCATTGTCTCTTGTTTTTTGAACAATTACTTTTTTTTTATTTCTCCAACTACCCTAGGTGAGTCAGTAGATGATATAAATAGCAGTAAAATTGAGCAGAAAATAAAATGGAATACCTGGTTTACACCACAGCATACCATGCAAGATGACTATTTTAGATCTCCAATATCTAGAAGTTACTATTCAGTAACTGTGAAAGAATTATATATGAGTCATATGGAGTATTTTGAAATCTGCCTTTTAAACTGCTTCTACTGAGAACATTATCTTTTACCTTGAAGGGAACAGTGACAGAAGAAAGGATTTCCCACTAAAAGCAATTCTGATCAAAGGATTCTACATCCTCATATTCTGAAGCCTATTACCACCTAAAAATACAGTTTGACATGCCAAATCTTTTTTTTTTTTTTGCATCTCCAATTTATCAAGGACTTTCTCCAAAGTCAGTACATGTCTTTGAGCTATCCATTTTATTGAAGTGCTGTCACTATCGTAAATGCAGTCTGATCAAAAGAACTTCTCTCTCCCCAACAGACTTTCTAGAAATGAAACAGCTGCTTTCAAACAAATGAAAAATCTGAAAAATTCTGAGAGATACAAGCAGTTGAAACCAGTAGGTTGGAAAGGAAATATGAGAAGAATCCTTATGCCTACCACGCTTGAGAAAGTACAGGTTTTGATATATTCTTATCATTGTACTAATTACATAACAAATTATTCTTAGCCGAGCCTTAGCTTGTGTTTCCTATTCTATTTCATAGTCAGGATTCATTTAAAGAGTGACTACATAGCCTAGATCACAGAAGTACAGAATGCCAGCTGTTACAGAAACAGGCATTTTACCATGATGAAAAGACGATCAGCACCGTTTCTGCTCATGTTCCTCATTCAAATACAGTTTTAAGTGAGGACTTCAAATGTAAATGTGCCATGAATAATTATGGGGCAGTTTACATCAGTGCTAGTGCAACAGTGACTAGGAATGTGTCATATTCCTATTCCCAATGTGCTTTTAGCTCTCTTCAAAGTTTGCTCTGCAATTGTGCGTAATAGACTCGTTTTCCGAGACAAGCCTAAATTTATAAAAGGCTGATGGGTGGTTGAGAAGTATTTGCAAGATGAATAATTACCCACTGATATTATCTCAGGTGCTATTACATTATATAGGCATTGGAAATATTTCCCTTGTAAGGACAATGAAGTTTGGGGGGGCGGGTGTCTGTTTTTAACAGCAGAAGGAAGGACTGCTTGGAACAGCAGCTTCCTCAGATGCAAAATGACAGTTTGTAAAGAGAAAAACCTAAAGTAACAGTGAACAGCTTCCTGAGAAGGGGGGGGACAGGAAGCAGGCATTGTGAAAAGCATGATAGGAAAGAATGCAAAATAAACCACATGCAAGAGGACAATGGGAGCAAAAACCGAGAGAGCAACAGACCTTGAAAGCTTGGCCAGCTGAAAACATATGTCATCCAAGATGGGTACAGGGGGTTACTTGAGGAAAACCCTGCATGCTAAGGACACACTGACTGGTGAGTCACTCTTGCCACCCTTTGCCTTCATGCTTTTCTTCCAGGTAAGGAACAAACTGCCAACAAACACACACATGTAGCAGTGATCTGTACTTCAAGATTATGCAGACTTGGGGGACTGTCCATGCATTGTGTCAGCTCTGCCCTGCACATCAGAGAAAAATGACAGAGCTAATAGCTCTGAACAGGTAAGTGCTCCTGTTACTGCTCCCCATACAAACAGTGCTTGGAAGAATTACAGACGAAGCAGGAGGATCTTCCAACCTAACCCATGATTCACAGCACTGCACTGAAAGCTCAGCCTAGTTTCTCAGTCTGTGGCTACAACCCTTCCATACCTCCATGTCCCGAGCACCAGGAAGCCCAGCACTGCCATCTTCTATTTAACTCACAGAATCACAGAATATCCTGAGCTGGAAGGGACCTACAAGGATCATCGAAATCCTACTCCTGGACCCACACGGGACCATCCCCAAGAATCACATCATGTGCCTGAGAGCATTGTCCAACTGCTTCTTGAAGAGCTGACTGCTTGTCTGTTTCTGCCTCTTTCATTTACGTTATCTGCTACTGAGGAAACACATCATCAGCCCTGAAATACAGAAACAGTTCATGATCAGGAGGTGATTGTTAGAAATTTAAACAGATAAACCCATAAATCACTAAACACTGCTCAATGGTATTATGTCCACCTGTGATAGGATACAAATTAAAATCCTATTTTCACCCTTGCCAGTGGAAACAGCAGAAATTCCTCCTGCAGTACTATGGATAACAAGCTTTCTCAGGAACATGCAGAAACTGAGGATGATGTCCTCCAGCTTCCCTGGGCTCTGTATTGAGAGTGCTAGTCAGTAACAGAGAAGGACAGGGATTCACCAGGCTGCCATGGTGTTTGTGGCACATACTACAATTTAAGGATTAACAAAAAAAAGCCTGTGCTTTCTGTGACCTGCTAACACCGAGCTGTAGTGTTCCTCTGCATCTACACGGATGCTATGTTCACATTCACATTCCATCCAGTAAAAACTTCATCCTAATCTACACCTAATCTAGGAGAGAAAAAACTACACACAAGGAAGAAAAAAGTTAATGAGGAAAGGGAGAAGGAAGCTTAAAAAGGAAGCACAAGGAGAAAAGGAATCAAACCTGTTATACAGCAACAAGAAAAGAAATATATTTAAGAAATTTTAAAAGGCAATCTGAAGAAGAAAAAAACACTACATAAAGGTAAGAAACCCAGAAGAAAATACTTATAAAGAATTTTTACTTATTAAACCATCTAGATTACAACTCAGAAGTTCTTATTTTTTAATCTCATTGGAGTGGAAATGCTCAGAGAAAATGAAAGGCCTTCCTCTAAATAAAAGGAATACCAGATAATTAAAAATAATTTTATCCTCCAGTTCCCCTAAGATGTTCCTCCTAGGAGCCTCCTTGAACTGTTTTTGGTGGACTGTGGGACGGTGGTGCATCAAAAACTTGAATACATCCTGGCATGACCCATTTTTTAAGTACATGATCACAACATTTATTTTTCTCCATGGAGTGAAATTTATCCTCTGCTGCATTTAGTTAACTTTATTGAAGGATTAGTTTAGTGAAGGATCAGTTCAGGAACTACTCTCAGTACTGACGTTTATGTAAAAGGTTTGAGAGGTATAAATGGGTATCACAACTGTCAATATAGTTTTACGTTAAAACAGTCAGGTAGGATAGTTCTTCCAGCCTAGGCAGCAGTTATAATCCGCATTAACCTTTTTCAAGACACTATTTGTAAAATAACAATGGAATACTGTGAGGATAGGTAGAGCAGTGAAAACATTAGACATTTGCTCAGATAGTTAGGCCCCATTTCCTCATGACAACCTATTACAAACATTGTTAATTGGACAGTCCAGTCCTTAGTGCCCCTCAGCTGCCTTGGGAGGCCAGTGTCATGGGTGCAGAGGAGGATCCTCACTGTAAAAAAGAAGTCAGCCATTATGTCTGAAGCAGGAGCCTTTTTTTATCTTCAAGACATACTGCAAACAATGCCTTTGTCCCTCGTTTCCTTTGTTTTACTGTAAAAAAAAAAATCAAACCCAAACCTAAGTAAACAAAAAACAAAACAAACAAACAAAAACCAAAAACAAAAGAAACCCTCTGTATTTTGCACGCATTTATAACTGCCTGGAGAACTTTTTAAAGAATTCCATGACAAAGAGGCAGGCAAAGGATGTCCTTCCTGACCTGGCTCATACAGTTCCACCCCACAAAGCACCACTCTGCCTCCAGACCTTGATGGCTGCGGCCCCTCATCCCTCCCGTTGTGGCTCCTCTCCCTCCCGCTCGCATCTCACACATCAGCGGCTAAAATTCCTTTTTCCCTCCCCGCTTTAGTACTGGCCACACTCCCCTTTCCAGTTCTGCCTCGTTAGCTATTTCGGGCCACGCTTGATGTCTCCACGGCAGCGGTCCATTCTCCAAACCAATTAAAAAAAATAAAATTAAAGGGGTGAGGAAGTATGAGGCTGAGAAGGACACGAGACTTCCATACAGCTGTACTCCCGCGGCCCTCGCTCCACGCCACGGCGCCACGGGCGTCATGGTACGGGCAGGGAGGCGTCGGGAAGGATCCTGGTTCAGAAAGGGAGCCTGAGCCCAGCAAACGCCCTGTTCCCTCTGGGGACAGCGATGCCTTTGGGAAACGATGCTCCGAACCTGCAGCCCTCAGCGTCCCAACTGCTCCAACGACCCGTGCGGGGCCCGGGAAGGCGGCGGAGGCGCGAGATCCCAGGATAACCCACCGGGCCTGGCCGGGTATCCCCCCGGCCCCCCCGCGCTCCCCTCCCCTGACCCGCGCCCGGAATCTGCCCCGCCACCACGGAGACACGGCCCGCCAATCAGCGCACACGGCTCCCATCGCCACGGCAACGCACCGCCCAATCCACAGCCGGCTCTCCCGCCTGGCCCCGCCCCCTGCCCCGCTCCCCCGCGGGGCGGTGCCGGGCTCGTCAAGGCGGTGGGCGGGGCCGGTGGGGTGCGGGCGGCCAATCGCAGCGAGGTTTTTGCTTTGGTGCCCAATGGGGGCGCGGCGCCCGCGCGGCCCTTAGTCCACGGGAGCCGAGCGGGGCCAAACCCAGCTGCGGCCGCGGCCTCCTTCTCTGCGCGCCCCCCCACCCGCCGGCGCGGAGTTGGCGGCGGCGGCCTCGGGCTCTGTCCCCGCGTCCCCCCGCCGGGACCCCCCCCGCGGCCGCGCCCGGCCCCGCGCCCCCGGCTCGCGCCGCTCCGGCAGCGCCGCCTCCGC